CCCCTCTCTCCCCCCTGGGCCCCTGATACTCCAGCATCTCGAACGCTTACACCTACACGCCGTAGCGTTAAGACTACAGAGATGCAGGTACGCAATTGAATACGACTCTATAACCAATAGGAGCGTGCGCTGCAGTCCGGAGTCGCTGAGTATAGCGACTTTGAGGGAACTTGAGGGTGGAGGAAGGCTTCAATTGAATTCGGCATGCGTGTCATGCCTCTTCTCACCACCACTTAACGTAGTTAGAGAGAGAAACTGAAACGAAATCCTATTTTTCATGGTCTTTTAGCACAGATTTACAAGAAATCGGGAAATCCTTTTCCACCGAGCTAGCCACCCATCAACAGAGCACCACCAAAACAAAGAGAAACCAAAAAAGGAAACGAAAATAGCGAACAAAGCACCCAAAAAAGCCGCCCGAGGACTCCGTTTCAGTAGGAAATATCTCTCGTCAAGATTCGCCCTTTCTTCATTATCGTCATTATTGTCCGAAAAAGATACCTCCAGGCATCCACTTTCCTTCAAACACGACACGCAGAAACCCCAAACGAACGCTAAAGATAGCCCTAAAACAACTTGAACAAGAGCAAAATTGACTTCTGGAAAACCCAAAATTTGAAAAAGCGGGGTTAGCGGTTAGCGCACAGTGTAGTCGTAGTGGTATCGTTTCTAATGCAAGACAGCAAAGTACTCCACCAAAAAAAAAAAAAAAAAAAAAGTACTCCAACAACGTAGTGAATGTCCTCTGAGCGGTATGGACTCCGTTTGCAATTACAAGCTCTGGAATCAAGCCTACAGGCCGTCGAAATTAAAACTAGGCGACGCCTGCGTGTTGTGATGTGAGTAAGTGAGCGTTGAGCCTGCTTTTAGTGCTGCGAAATCATGTCTGAACCGAAAAGCAACGCTCGATGCCGTGCGTTCAGACTTCCGCGTTAACAGCGCATCATATCAACCAAAGCATTGGGCGGGGTATCTATCAGATCGTCGGCAGATGTGAGGAATGGATGAATTTGGCGGGGCGGTCTAGTCAACGGAGCGCGTCGTGCATCCATCACAGTGCGTTCAAGTGAGAGCGATGAAACGGAAAGTAGGAGGCGACGAGGGATTTTTCGGCACAGAGGGAACCACTAAGGCGCAGGGAAGGGAGTTCAAGGAGGGAAAAGCTGCCCCGCGCGCTTTCCTCAAGCACGCACGCATACACTCAGGCGCAGGCACACGGACACGCACGTCGCACGCTAAAGCCCCAGCAGGAGGTCACAGCCTCACAGGCACATCTAGAGACTCTGAAGAGATGTGGGTGCGGAGAGTCAGAAACAGACAGACTGCGGCAGAAAAGGGGAAAAGAGTTCAAAGGCGGGTTGCAAGGAAGAAAATGGCACACGGGAGGAGGGGGGGGGCGCAGGGGAGAGAGAGAGAGAGAGAGAGAGAGAGAGAGAGAGAGAGAGAGAGAGTAAACGGACGCTCACCCGTGATTGCCGTACAGTCGGTATTGATTCGAACTTCGGTCTCATCACGGCGAACTTTCGAGTACATTACACCGTGAGAACAACCACGACGATGTATTTGCTACAGCTGGAACGGAGAACACCACTCGTGAAACTTCAACGAAGCACGCAGGCGTCCACCTACTCTCCTCTCGCGCAGATGACTGCGACATCACAGTCGGTGACAGTCCACTTTTCTCGCTGTGAATCACACATACAGCACCAGATGCGAAAGGACAGCTTTTATAACAGGAAAGGCAAAATGGTATTCGACTTGTATGATGAAATAAGGACAAGTGTGCATCATTCTGAGGCCCCGACCCGTTTTATTCATCTGGTTCCATTAGGATTCAAGCTCAAGATCTGCGGACCATGGGGAAAAGTCATAAAACTCCCCGCGACGAAACCGATGTATTCACTTGCCCTCAAACGAGAAAAAGAGTGCCGCAGGTCCCAAAATCACTTTTGGTGCCATTTTTGCACCCTGGCTGGGCCGGTAACGGCCGCTGTGTTAAAATGGCGGGAAAGTGTTTTGCGGCCCTGCGGCATTTTTTTCGCCGTTTGGGGGCAAATCGATACGAAGGTTTCGTCGCGGTGCCAAGTTTGCGTCTTTACCCCGGAGACGTTCTGTAAAATTATATCCGTGTCCGTACAGTATTTAAAAAAAGACGGCCCTACGGCTTCATGAATCTGGCACACACAAATGACCGAATTTCTGAACCGATAAAAACAGGCCAAAGGAGCTGCGGTCAAGGCGCGAAGGTGATACCGCGCGTTAGAATGCGCTCGGAAAGGGAGGGTGGAAGTATGTGAGGGAGGAACAACGGGGCGGTGGGCCGTGCGACCGAAACTGATGAAACTACCGTCTTAACCCGAATAGAACGCCCCGTCATTATAGCCGTATCTGGTTCAACTTGCAGTCTAGGTACAGCGATAATGACCGGGCGTTGTATTACGGTAGCCACTCCACCAGGCGGGCACAGGAGCGAGTACGAGATCACGACTCAGCAATCAACATAAAGACAGCTTCGATAAAATGTGAGGATCGGTCAATGGAACGTCATGACAACATGCTGCTGTCGGAAAAACAGGATGATACTACCGAAATCTCAATAATTTTTTGTTTTTTTTTCCTAAATAACCCCTGAGCTTGTATTAGGGCGTACTCACACTGACACTTTCCAAAATGCATCTGAACTCCAATCACGGCCAGACCTGGATAAATCTGGCCCCAATCACGTCCATAAAGAAGTAGATTGTCCTAGTCTGAGTAGGCACTTTACGCGGAAACATTTGAGGCCGGGAATCCTCACAAGCATTCCGGAAATACTGGGGCCATTCCCCAGCTTCGGCTACGCTCGAAACAGGGTCCAGCATCCCTCGAAAATTTCCAATAAAGTGACCTTCTCGAACAAACTGAAACTCTGGAAACTGCCTAATTACCCCTGGCCCACCTAGGAATCTTTAGGGGAAAGGTTATAGAACCTCCCGGCGATGAAACCTTTGTATTAATGTCAGCCCCAATGGGGCAAAAAGTGCTGGCTTGGCAGGCAACACCTGCTGTGCAAAAATGGATGGAAAGTGTTTTACAGGGTGGAAAAATGACGCCAAAAGTCGTTTTGGGGCCTGGGGCACTTTTTGCCCTCTTGGGAGTGAAATGAATACAAGTAGCGGGGAGGTTTTATAACTTTTCCTAATCTTACTTTTCCCATTCCTTAGACACAGAAGTACCAAAACCTGCAAAACTTTTCTCTGGGGCCGAAAGGTGGCCCCTTTTCTACTAAAAGTTCTGCGGGCATACTCACAGGAGGACCAAAAGTCTCAAAATTTTGAGGCATTTGGGGAGGCGTATGTATTTGGCCTGCACCTTTGGAATTCGGATTTGATTGGTCACACGGGCGGACATCGTCCAGAAAGGGGCTCACCCTGACACTTGGCCGTCAGGGCAAGTGTGCATAGTCACATGGGTGAGGACCAAAAAGATTAGAGGGAATTAATTATTTATTTTTTACACGCCAAAATAACATAAGAAAGTAGATGGTTTTTTTTTTTTTTTTTTTCTTACAACGTAGATGGGCCTCGCTGCACTACTCTCCAAATGTGTAAAATGTAGTGCAAAATGAGACTGAATCCACGGCTACAACATGGATAGATACATTGCCATCTTTTTTGTCTTTTGTTTGACAGGCTGTTTTCTTTGTCAAAGATTTTTGGCAATAAGGTAAGATGGAAAGAAAAAAAACGAAAGGTCACTGGAGGTGGTCTCGAAAAGGGTCCTCTCACGGCCCGCAGGCAGGGTCCCCATTTGCGGCATTTGGGCAGCGGACTTCTCCAATGTGACCCAAAAAATGCCTCACATTTTGGGATTTAAGGTCATTAGCTCCCCCTGTGAGTATGCCCTGACGACCAAAAGTCTCTTGAGGTACGGCCTATTTGGGACTTGAGGTACGCATATGACCACAAAGGCTGACTTCGTCCAGAGAGAACAAAGTCGCAGCCCTGACACCTCTCCCTCGGGGCAAGTGTGGATAGTCACCAAAAGAGTTGATGGATTTAAAAATAAAAAAAAAAAACGCAAAATAAGGTAAGAAGTATGTGGATTTTTTATTTTTTTCCTTACAGCCTACATGCGCCTTGCTGCACTACTCTCCGAATATGCAAAACGAGACTGAATCCACTGGCACCACTGCTAGAACATAGATAGATACATGACCATCTTTTTTGTCTTTTGTTTGGCAGGCTGTTTTCTTCGTCAACCGTTTTTGGCAATAAGGTAAGACGGGGAAAAAAGAATTGAATGGCCATTTGAGACCACCTCTGGAGGTGGTCTAAAAAAGGTCCTCCTGCGGCCCCGCATGCTGCTGGAGGCTACTCCCTCAAGCTCAGCTGGCGCTGCCAAGCAGCAGCCATGATGAGATCACCAGTTGACTATCTGTCGTGACGTCCGCCATGTTATTCGCTCTGGCCCAGGTTTTCAAAAAACATTGCAGGGATTTTGGGGGGGGGCTTCAGGGTCTCTGCCAATCTGCACGGATGGCAAGCCTAATGTTGGGTTTGATTTTAGTCTTGAGTTGGTGTATGCAGACGGTTTCAGCTCAACTTTTTTTTTAATTATATAAAGGCAAATTCCGACCTTTCAGGAGGCTGAAACGAAATGACTACCACCCATTTGATTTATCAATGGCAGCTGTCGTCGGGCCTGGCCTCCAAATTCTTCGGGAGCTGGCGTTTTCCCTCATTTCCGAAGCGGCAAAGGTACTAGTGCTTTAAGCCCAACCAATTCAATTACCTGTCGAATCTGGAGAGGACGGCCTCAAAGAGCAATAAACACGTGAATGCAAAATCTGAACAACAATGGACACAATTTTAGAATGGAACTGGCCGGAATAGAGGTCCAGTTCAGTAAACTGACAAGTCCAATGCATCGCCTGAGCCGTGACGACTGATCCCAGCGGCAACTTGATGGGCGCATGTCAGTCCCAGCGGCAACTTGATGGGCGCATGTCAGTTGTGCGACGAAGATGATTTGCTGCCACTGCTGAAGTTGGATGAAGAGTGTCCTCAAGACCCTGTGCCCTCCCAAAAAAAGAAAAAGGGTTAATTTACGAAATATATGTTGAGAAATATGCCAAAATGCCCCTGAAAGATGTGGGTAGAGCGGAATGCCCTTTTGGGCCGAAATCTTTCTGTTATGCCCCTGTCAGACGGGTGTGCAAATTTGCAATCTGGACCTGGTCCTCGCTGTTTGGGCATGGCCTTTTGCGACTGAGCCTTAGGAAAATCGCCAAGTTCTATGTATTTTGCACAGTTGGATGTACAAGGAATATGTGTGTGAACGATATACAGAAAACCAAGTTGCAAAATCACACAGATGTCCAAGTAGTGGTGTACAAGCAGAGAACACAATTGCACCGAGAATCCATCCAAATAGAGCAATACAATGAAGTAATGAGCCAATGTTCAAGCCCTCAGGCCACACCAACACAGTATCCAAAGTCGCTCCTCTCTGTCTGGCGCCCAGTGCCAAGCCTACTCTACTATCCTACCTACTGCAGCTGTGTTCACGCAACGGGCTCACTTCTACTCTCCAAGACCAATGTACATGATGTCAACACTATAGCCAACCTCTCTTCATGCACCAGGTACGTATCTCGTCACTCTCATCAGACCTTGATAACCCACACACTCGCCTCCTTCCCTGAAGACCACCAGATTGCCCTCTTACCCCCTAGCGCCCAGCAGCCCGGCTATGGTTGCCTGCGCCCCATGGCCCTGCAGCGCCCCACTTCACCTCTACCACAGGCTCTACGCCCCCGCCAGCACTCTATATTGCAATGCAGCATCCAATGCAGCAGCGCAGCAGTGTGACCGCATTGCCTGCGCAGGCCAGAATGCCTCGCCTTGGCTGCCTCTCTTCCTATATGGAAGTGGCAGCCTCCTGGATGCTGTGTGTGGCCTGGCTGGAAGTTTCCAGTAGCTTCCTGTTGGGCCCCAGTCCCTGTGCCCAGGCCCGAGGCTACAGTTGAGGGCCTGGGCCCATTACAGTTGGGCACGGCCTGAGTCTCCGGACTTGGGCCGTTTGTTGTATTTGCACAGGACACGGGGGTTACGTCGGGGTAGGTGCGTGGACAGTGCTGCTTTTGCATAGGCCTGTGGCCACTTCATGATGTATCAGCCCTGCTTTGTGTGTATATGCCCAGGCACAACTGCCAATGCCTGGGCCAACTGTATGATGCAGCTTAGTCACTGTGAGGCTCGCGCGTCCACTCAACCAACTGGCGGGCTGCAACAACCTGAATACCCATATATGAAAATGTCGAATTTTGGCCTCTGATGAATATTCAGGCCCACCTTCACTTAGGGCGGGCACTCGGCTAGCTCGGGGCCTCTGCCCAGAACATGTGTTTGCCTGATAAGGGCCCCTGAGAGGGTTCGTTCCTCACAGATGGTACCCAGTAGGGGTATATTATCACAAAGATGGGGGATCCAACCGACACGAGGGGTATTTCACAAATTTTTCCTTTTGTCAGAGGGGCATTCCGCTCTACCCACACCTTTCAGGGGCATTTTGGCACATATCTCAACTTATGGGGGTATTTTGGAAATTATACCCCCTCCCCCCAAAAAAAAAACATGTTCCCGTCGGGATGCCACGTCAGCAGCGGACTTGCCATTACAAGGCGAGAAGACAATGTCGGGCTGTCCACCAACGTATCCTAGTGCCCCAAAGCAGTCAAGAAGGTCATGAGTCCACTGATTGAGGGACGGGTTGCCGCTGCTAGTGAAGAACGCGGATGAGTCTATGTCATGCCTGTTAGCTGACCTGCCCGACTCAAGTGCCACGAGTCAGGTAGCAGGGGTGTAATTCTCAATTTGTCAGAGACACAGTTTTGCCACGTGGGCCTTGAAGAGGGGTGGGAAGGGGGGAGGAGGTGGATAATCTCCAGCTCTGATACCAGTACAGCACACATGCAATGAATCGAGGCGGTTGGTAGAGGCAAGGGTGATGGTGGATATCTGTGTCGAAGACATGGGCATCAGGCATCACACGAGCAACAGCACACAGTGTCGTGGAGATGAAGGGTGATGATGGATGTCTGTGGGGAAGGCACGGGCATCAGGCATCACACCAACAACAGTACACAGCAGCTCAGAACCAAGAGCCCCAATCCACCAGTCAAATGCCAAAAGAGAAGCAACACAGACTCAGTTGGACCCGGCGGGCCAGGGACGACCTGGACGCCGAGCTTACCAGCGGTCTGGAACTGGACGGGCATGACACTACCCGGGTCCCAGCAAGGTACCCCTCTGCTATTCTATTCGAGCTTGTTTTAAGATTACCTTGGCTACTCAAGCCCCAAGAAATAGAAAACTCAAGCAACAAATAATCCAGAACACCTTATTGTCCAAAACACATTATAGTCGCACCATCCGCTGCACTTTCAGGCCCACTGATCAAAGCATTTATTGTGTACCAATCAAATCGCCATTGCTTCGGAATCCAACAAATGTTGTTGACATCAACATACAAATCACAGCTAAATAGAAAGCAACATCATAGTAAGAAACTGCCTCAAAACTAGCAATAGCAATAGTTAGTTTCAAGACAAAATGATGCCAAGCGCTAATAAGCGGGCCTGCGAACTCCAAACCTGGGTCATTATTTCCAGTCCGACCCCAACTTGCATTCAGTCAAGTATGCTCAAACGTCCTTAACCATTCGCAATCGGAGCTCCGGTAGCGGCGGTAGGACGTCTTCCAACTTAGAGTAGTCCTTCTGTCAGATCTTCTCTAAGGACGTCGTCCAATGTGTTCACAACATGATTCCCCATTCTATCAACTGAGCGACGCCGGGAAGTACATAGAACTGGTCGTGCTCTGCTCCAATTCCCTACACTCCCTCGGCCTCCCATTCTGAGGCCTGCACCCCTCTCTCAGCTGCTTGATGATCAGACTCTGTGGGGCGATGCACAACTGTAGAAAATGCCGCGATGTGCCGACTCTGAAGTTGTCGAGCGGGCAAAAGAACGTAAATAGAAGGCATGGAAAAAGTTACACATTCCTCGCGACCCCCCTTATCTTTGGTTATTCCCCGAAGTAGACCTCCCAAAAGGTAGGCCTGCGCCGTCCAAGAAAAAAGGGGGGGTCCCTGATTTTTTTAACCCTGCCCTAACATACCCCAATAATCCCCAATTCGGACCCCCCCGTTCTTAATATTTATTTATGTTTCTTCATTCTCGGGGTGATGGGGCCCTCGGTCGCGCCCCACGAATCCCAAGCCCGACCTCAGGCACCCCTCTCCCTTTGGCCGCAGCGGGCCGCTGGGGATACACAGGTCCGTGTGGCAATGCAAAACTGTAGAAAATGCCGAGATCTGCGGAGGCTCTCAACAAGAGGAAGGATGAATAGAACTTGGAGAAGAGAGCGTAAATAGAAAAACCGTAAATAGAAGGCATGGGAAAAGTTACACAATCCTTGCCCCACCGCCCCTCCCCTCTAACCTTCGAACAAGCCCCAAACGTGGCAAATGGTGTGGTTTCCCTACCCCCAGCTCAGGGATCCGAGGAACGACTTACTTCAATACCAGTACTATCCGGATGTCCGAACCCCAGCTCTACTGTCTGTACCCGAATAGCATGCCGGTCATTATGGCTGTATTTAGCCGGAAAGTTGCCCCAAATGCAGGTATAATAACCAGTCGTTTGATTCTGGTGAAGACAGTAATGCAGTCTGATCAGGAGTTCGTAACCATGGTGGACGATTTCTTTGCCTCGGGCTGACAATCGAGTGACTGTTTCACCAAAAGATGCCGTCAAAAGCGATGCAGTCAAGCAGTTGCTACATCCGTCTCCTAAGGTAGCGCTCACTCACACCACCACTATAATAAAATACGTATTGCATAGTAGTTAAGACTAGAGTCCTCTCTTGAGAAAGAGCCACTTTCAGTTTCCTCTCCGCTTTGCCCGCATTTGGTAGATGATCAACCGTCCTCGTTTGCTATCTCAAGGACGACTACTACCTTGTTGCGGTCGCGGACACGACCAGAAATGACGTTCTGGGTCATTTCCACGTTGGGTGGGTGCTTGCAGAAAGGGCTATGGCACTCTCGGTGCAATGGGACCCTATCTGCATCAATCTGAGCTCCGCCCCGTTGGTGCAGTGGTCCCCACAGTTATGAGATGGCATTCAGAAGTTCGGGAACCGCATACCATCAGCTGCGTTCTTGGAGCACCAACTCACCAACCGACGCTTGCTACACTCCAGTGGGAAGATCGACGGCAGCGATGGATCGATCTCGAGCTCATCTCCATCCGGAGCTCTGCTCCCCAGCTCGTCAATCCGAGGAACGACTTCCTTCAACACGTCTATTATCCCTCTCCTGATTTCAATATTGCAATCTGCATCCAGCTTGTCAAGGTAAAGCCGCTCGTGCAGTCCGGCACAGGGCCCTGTGAGGAGGTCCACCATGACAGGGATGAAAGCCGTCACTAGTCTGGCATCGAATGCTCGTCGCGGGTATGCCTCCAGCACAATCTTGATGACTCTGATCGCATGCTTTGTGGCCAATAAAGCATCCAAACCCTCAGCGAGAACCTGTATCCTCTCATCTGTCCTGTAAGCTGCCTCTATGTCCTCGAATAAACTGATTGCAGGTAACCAAGCCGGATGTCCAAGCGACTCCCAGAAAACCAGAACCAAGCACGCTATTGACGTGCGCAGGAAGATCCTGATGCGGCCACAACATCCAGCGTTTGGCCGGGAAGCAAAGGCTTGCGAAGCCGCTCTTCCAGAGTGAGCTTGGTCCCATTTAATCAGGAGATTGTAATGCAAGCTCCTGAATAATGAGAGGAAGAAGTTCCTACTCTGCCTCGGGTCGTCCGGTAGAATGCTCTACACCGGTACACGTGTTGGACACTGTCCAGGTCCACTCAGTCGAGGGCGAGTTGGTATCCGGTGCAATTGCAGGGGTGGATTCGTTTGCCGCGCAAGAACCATGGTTATGTCGTCGGCTGTATAGTAGGACTGTGTGCCCCGTGGTTGTTCTCGCGAGTGCCGGTCATCTTGTGTGCAATTTGACTGAGAAGAATACGGACTGGCTCCGCGAACCGCAGTGGTGCGAGGGTCATCGCAAGTCCTTCGAGAGTCCATTGACGACTCGGCTGTGTCAGCCGGAGGAGGGGTACGAGGGAAACCGTAGCCATGGCGTTCGGGATCGCTGGCGATTGTGATCTGTGTCTCCATGTCCCCTCCCTCCAATAGGCTTGGCCCCACTTCGAGCAAGTCCGCCAGTAGTCCTGCAGCGGCGCCCGAGCACGGTATTGCGTGATAGTTGGCCTTCGTGCCCTCCATTGACCAGCAGTTCATCCGGGTCTTCGAGAGTAAATGAAGTAAGGATTGATCGAAGTCCTCCATGTTCGTATAGAATCGGTCCGCTCGGATTCGACTGACCCAACCAATGATCATTATCCTAAGGCAATCGACGCCTCCTGGCGACTTGCACATCATCAGCTTGAGCTCCTGTTTGCTCCTGTGCGCGGCAACGTGAAGGAGATCTCTTATGGATTCTATGGTTTCGATTGCGAACCAATCCAGCTCCCGCGTCCCGTGTGCACGGCGCCAGTACTTTAAACACTCTAGCAGAAGTCTTTCAACGTCAGTGTCAGCCTCTCTTAATTTCTGTGAGATGAAGATCTTGGCCAAGTGCAGCTGCAAGAAGGCGGAGAAAGACTCCGGCCTTGCCAGGCACCGCTTAACTAGATTCCTCAGCTCTCGAAGGTTCATCCCTTTTCTATTCCCTCCCATGTCAACTAGAGCGGGAGGTAAACACTGGGCATTCAAGTTTGTGCCACTCGTCCCACGTAGATTGGGAGCGGTCTTATCAGGATGCATCCTCAGATCATGCCGATGCCAGTACATCATCCTGCGTGTCCAAAGCCAGGAGAGAGTCCTGATGCAGTCCGCGGCGATAATGCGCGAAGTCTCCCGCTTGGCACAGTTAAGAAGAATGGAGAGCGTCCTCTGATTGCTCAGGACATCCCTGACAGAAGGCACCCAGATCTCATCCACGTGCACAAGCCCTCTCGGCCATGGCGTGTCAAGAGGCCATGCTACCGGACAAATGGTTGTGAAGGAGTAGCTGAGCCTTCTCACGTACCCCCTCATTGCCGGGTGATCGTCCGGCAAATGCCTAGCTCGCAGAGCTTTCCCGACAGGACAGTGGACCAGCGCATGAACATCACTAGCGGCATGTGCGAACGAGCACATAGCAGAGGCAGCAGCTTCCTGAACCCGCAGTTTTTCACCGCTTATTGCATCAGAGCTTCCGGTGGCGTAAGGTTCCAGCACGTCGAGGAGGGCGTAGAGCAAATGCTTGGTGCAGTACCTGAAGTCGTCGTCCTGGAGCATATCCACGATGAAGTTGGTGTCCCTGCTGTCGCGATCTGGCTGCCAAGGAAGGACAGAGAGTCCAGCAGCGAATCCAGCCAGAATAGAAGCCGCGATCTCTGCGTCGACCGAGTCTGGCGGGCAGCACTTCAACACCTGCAGCATTGCAAGATAGCCTTCGGCTTGAGCGAAGTCTAGGCCCGCGTCCATGTCATGTCTGCAGCGGCTCGTCTGGGGCAGATCCTGCATGTAGCACGCCGTCTCAGTAGACACCAGCAGATCGCAATTGTTGCAGGCCTTGCACGCTCTTGACAGCTCGAACAAGGACTCCAATGCCATAGTGAGCTTCGTTCCCGTCTTGATCTCTCTCCGCCGCCAATCCCATCGACGATGCTCATCTTTCAGATAGGGTAGGTGGCTTCTTACAAAGTTCACTAACTCCTTAACGCTATAAAACCAGTACCCCGGCAGGCCACACTTGTCTTGCTGGGCTGGAGATTCGTTGGGACCGAATTCGAAGTGCCTATGCTGATGAACGTACCACGTGATACCTGTCTCCATCTCCCTTTGGAACCGGTCCAATCGCTCTAAGAAAGGACCACCAAAGTTCCTCGATTGGAGACTTGCGGAGGCCGCAGAACAGTCCCAAGACGTACGTGAGAGAAGCTCTCGGCATTTCCTCAGAAAACAACATAGGAGAGAGAAGTAGATCAAGAAAACAGTCCCAAGACGTACGTGAGAGAAGCTCTCGGCATTTCCTCAGAAAACAACATAGGAGAGAGAAGTAGATCAAGAAAAAGACAAGAAAAGAGTGCATTAAAAGGCAGAGGCACGTGGCATATAGGAACTCTTCCAGACGCTGTACACCCCACTCGACATCGTAGTCAGGGCGATTCCTAAGGCCCGAAATAGACTTGAACAAATGCCATGTCAGGACAACCTGAACGATCACAGAAAACAATCGGATGACAGCCATCAGAGCGACAAAAGCAAAGGTGGAGATCAATGCTTCCCCAAGTATTTTGAAGGTCCCGAGTTTCAGCCTGTACGACTTGCCCTGGCCTATGGCAATCTGGCGGCATGACATGCCGCTGAAATAAAACCTGTGGATGAAACCCCGTAAGAGCTTAGACACAGCCTCGACAGCTGTCAATGCCACGGGGGGCCACAGGATGTCCCTGGACATGAACTGTCCGAACGCGCCCACACCGACTGACATAACCAGTACCACCAAATAACCCATGGTGCTCTCTGCGAACTCTAACAAAACATAAGTTTCTCCTTGAAGCTTAAGCCTCGGCGATACGGAGTACACCATCTTGGCTCGACCTCAGTTCAGCACAAGGATAAAACTACGACGCCACATCTCTCTCTCTCTCTCTCTCTCTCTCTCTCTCTCTCTCTCTCTCTCTCTCTCTCTCTCTCTCTCTCTCTCTCTCTCTCTCTCTCTGTGGAAATGTCTATGTATTTGTCAGGGAATTCATAGATTTATGAATCTATAGACCGGTGATTAGGTCAAATTGTGAATCTCTCTCTCTCTCTCTCTCTCTCTCTCTCTCTCTCTCTCTCTCTCTCTCTCTCTCTCTCT